GATGCTGTGACGTCGTGTGTTTGTCCATAATTAGAGAAATATAAGTAACACACATCTTTGGCAAGCCAAAAAGATGAAAGCAACCTCTCACAAGGTGCATCCACCAGCGAAAGTTGGAGATAACATCATCATACCTACTCCTGATGTAGACAGGGCTAAATGAGATCTTCGGAACGTTATTGGAGTTGTGCTTGAAGCATCTGATGACGGATTTTATAAGATCGGGACCAAGCATGGTATCTTACAAAAATTATATTGCAGGTAATTATTCATTTTGCTACGGTTTTTATTTGATTTGAATTGAATATTTTCATTTCAGAAATGAATTTGATATCTGCACACAAAAGTTTTTATTGGAAGAAGAAGTAAACAAGAACAATGAAATTTCGTTAAGAACCGCAGCGATAAAACATTCAGTTGGAACAGGCCAAGGTTTCTTTAAGTGTAGTTGCACCAAGAAGTGTATGTCGAATCGATGTCTTTGCAAGAAAAATAACGTTCTCTGCAACTCGAAATGCCATAATAGTTTGACATGTAATAACAAGTAAATAATAAAAATTACTAAACATGTTTGTAATATGTAATGGTGTTTTCTTCAATTACTAGTAAAAACGTTAATTTTGTCAAAAGACTGTATGTAGACTAGGACAAATCAGTTTTTCCTAATCATAATTAACTTATTTCAGGAAAAACCAGTTTAGGCTAGGATAAACTAGTCCATCCTATCGCTCTTCGGATAAACTGGTTTGGCCTAGGAAAAACTAGTTTATCCTAAAATCGGATTTGTCCGGTAACATATATATATATATATATATATATATATTGATATAAGCAGAAAAGGTTTTTTTTTTAAATGGGAAGCTGTAATGAAAATGTATCGTATCAAAACTTCAAACTCAATTTCAATTATTTTGAATGTTCTGTGTATATATTATGTGAATAAATTGTAGTTTTTAGTTCCTGTTGACAATGCAGACTACAAAAGAAAAATATTCCTCAAAAACAAAAGCTTCACCTACTGACCATGATAAACAATACAGCAATGTGGTTGGAAATAAAAAAAATGATGCGTTCAGCCTCAGGGAAAAAACAAAGCCTTGAATCGAATTGCAGAGAACTTCAATTTTCAACGTTTTCTAAAGAACTTTGTATGGTTAATGGAGATAATGAAAAATGCTTATTTTTTGGAAATAATCTAACCTGTTTACCATCATTCAAAATATATAATCAAGTTCAAACTGTCAATTTTAAATATTTGAATATTCTGTGTATATGAATTCAGTTTGGAGTTCAACCCTGCTACGCATTAATAATAGAAAAAAATATAACCATATAGTTAAAAACAATAAAACCAATCTGGTAAGCTATCAATAGAAAAAACTAGGCCTAGCTTTACATTGATAAGAAGTTTAATTTCCAGTAGCATCACTGATGTAAAAAGCAGAATTTGGTATATGTGAAAAAAAAGGAACTGTGATTAAATAATCTGTTGCAATATACCTTTTCAGAGGAAAAACAAAACCTTTTCCTGTTTATTTTGGCAAATAAAAGTAATATAATACTGAGAGACATAGTTGGCTGCTTACAAGCAGAGGATGTCTGATAGATTCCAATAAGGTTCCAGCATTTTACTTTTTTGACAGTGTTGTACAACATATTAAAGTGGTGCTTGACGATCCCTGTGATAGTACTTTTCTTACTTATAGTGTAGACTGTCAACCTTTGGATAAAGGGGCAGATTCTTTAAACAGCAAAATCCATTTTCATATGAAATAAGCTAATGGACAGTCTAGGTAGGTACGACCAGTTGTATGTTTAACAAAAACTAACTCTTAAAAAATAAGAGGACACTATGCACCAAAGTTAGTTAAAACTTTACGGTTATTCAGATATAAATACGTTTCCAGAGGCTGCTGGAACTCGACTAACTCAAAGAACGTTTCTTATTTATTAGATCGTGTTGTAAACTATATTATACGCCAAAGCTAGTAAGGAAACATAAATAATTTTTTTCCCAATTATTTTCTAATTATAAAAGGGGATAATTCATGTAAACTGTGCCCAGGAAGAATAAAATCATTGTATGAAAAAAGAAACTAAAAAAAGAATAATAACTTTTATTCAAACTGCTTTGCTACATATCAAGGGAGATAGTTGGAGAAAGTAATTTGGAATTTTGTTTTCAATGCTGCTGTATGTTTTTGCCAGGTCAAGCCATTATCAAGGGTGACCCTGAGGTTCATGACAGCATTTTTTCATTGTATACGGCTACCGTCTGCCGAAAGCTCGAGTGGGGACCGCGACGTTTTCTGCTACAATACCTATATTTTCGAATGATTACTTTTAATCAAATCAGCCATCGTTCAGCCCACTCTAGTACTTCCTCCTTTGCATAAGTGGATTCTTGAATATTGTAATCGACATTTTTATTCGACGATTTTCACAAAGCTAAGGCCATGTGTTTGAGATTTCTTAACCATTCAACTGAATGGCATATATGATAAAGTTGGAGTATTGCTAGAAAATCATTACCTTTTTCTTCGTTATTGACCACCTTTGGCCAATTGTCCTGAGTAATTAAATACTTCACACAATGGAAGCACAGTAGCAAATGATAATGACAAAAAAAAAATTCTAGTGGTGTAACGAAAGACTATATGAAATACATATTTCAACACTTATGGTTGCATCGGTGCTAAGGAGTAAAATGTAAGAAATCACCCTTTTAATGGTATTTTTTCAGGTCTACTTGCATTGCTCAAAGATACATCCCATCCTGAGAAGCCGAGACTACAAGATACTGTTGCAGGACAGAATAATTCTAGTGTAAGGCACGTTATTAGAGGATACATTTAAATTGTTTGTCCACTCAGTGTTTTGTTTGTAGAGCTTCTAATTTTGAAAGTAGCATACAATATTGTTAACATCATGATGAAACATTTGTTCTAAGAGAAAAGATGAATTACAAATTGATGAAATCTGTATTTCCATATATTTCTGAAAGAACCTATTATATACCTGCCATCTGAAAAGTATAATACATGAAATTGTTAATGAACTCATACGTAGTATGTCAAAACGAAAGTATCACCAATCCAATGATGACTTTATATCCAAAAGGTACAACTAATTACAGGAGTTATGAATATGTAGCCAAAAAACCAATATATCAAAAATGAAAAACAACAGTGTATCACAATAACCTTTATTCATTTTTAATTTACTTACATAAAATATACAGGGTGTTTTTTGCAATTGAATGTCTATATTTAAGGGGGCAACTTTGAGTCCATTTTAAGAAGAATATTTCATATGACGTATATCCTAAATCTCTTGACCTTTGAGAAACAGAGTGGTAAACATTACAAAACTTAATAAAATTTTTTGTAAAGATCTGGAATACCACTTTAAATACTTTATCAAAGTTTGGCATACATGTACATCAAGAGGTATTTGTAATGTAACATTCTTTCAATTCCCACCAGTGGCATTCGTACGAATTTCACTTGCCTATTTTGGCAGACAATGATAGTAGTCAACTGATTTCTCTTAAAATAAAAATTGCTCTTAAAATCATCAGTGATTTCTGAGCAAATTTTATGAAATTAAAATACTGTTCCTTTGCATGATCCTAATATCGTTAGTATCACAATGTCACTATGTATAAACAGTATCTTTGGAAAGAATTTTTTTTAGTCAGACCCATGATTTTCACCCAATAAATCGAAACTATTTCGCTGCATGGTGATATTGTTCAGAGACAGTTTTTATTTTTATGAAAACCGTACATCAGATTGAAAAACATTCAAGTGATTAAATTTGCTTAGATGTGATTAAAAATTTTAATAAAAGAGACATCAGTGGCATACCATTACTGCCTGTCAAAATAAGCAGGTGAAATTCCTTAATAGCAACACTGGTGGAAATTAAAGAAATGCCTCGTCACTCATGTACAATTAGGAAACACACTGTATTGCAGCTCCTAGTATTACAAGAGGTAAATGCACACTTTTGAGCCAAAGATTTTTTTTACTGTTTCTATCATAACTAACAAAGTCTGCTTTTCATATAAGTGTTTCAAATATCAAACCAGTTTAATTCTTGATATTTATTTTTCAACCCAAAAACGCTTTCCTTTAACATGCCATACTTTTGATAGATTTTCCCTTTTAAGTTGGGGTTCCAAATCAATTAAAAACTTTCTGTATTGAGATTTGAATTTCTTAATAAAATGATTGTAAATTTTAAGTTTCCTTACTTTTTTTCCTTATACAATATGCTAGAATACTAATATATGGTGCAAAACATTTAAAAAGTACAACATACTATTCTTTGAGGCTCAGTGCATCGATCTTATTGCCACTGATGTATTTTTTTGGTATCCTCAGTAGCTGGAGTCTCAATTATAAATAATAATATAAAACCACAATTTATACCTAGAAGTTTAAATTCAAATGAAATTTTGTATCTCAGAGCCAGATAAGACCTACCTGTAATGATCAGCAAATTTACTTAACTTTATAAGTTATGTTAAGTCGCATATGGTACAATACAAGACAAATTATCTGAAACACAATTACGTTATTATCTCACTTATTGGGGCTTAACCTAGCCTGACTTTGAGGTACACTTTTCAAAATAATGGGTCTTTTCTGCTTATCTAGACCTTTGAAGTGTTTGAAATTTGTCTAACAGGAAAGTGATTCCCTGGTTGAGTCAGAATTTTCTTGTATTTTTCCATTTGTGGAATTTTATGTCATGAAGTTTTTCTGATTTAAATTCAAGCTACAACTGTGTTTACTCCTTGTAATACTTCATATATGGTAATCCTACATGGATATGGTATTTCAAGCATCCTCATTGTACATATTTGTAGCTTGACACTTCACATAGAGTCCAGTAATGATTTGTGAACAGGCATCTTGACATCAACAATGCAATTGCATTCGGGATATGTTTGTTATCCATGGAGGAACCAACTTCTCGTAAAGTCTGTTTGAATGAGTTACACCTGAAAATAATGCAATGAGAATATAATATGAATATCCAATGATTTGTTTTGTAACTTACCAACCTTCATCAAGAAAACAGCTTGGTTGTAAGCTTCTGGACTTTTATACAGGGAATTGATTCCCACAGTTTTCTTGTAATTAGTTGTGGAATTTTCTGCCATGATGGTACAACGTGATGAAGAATTTAACTTCATGCTGCAACTCCATTTTCCCATTTACACGTAATTTCTCATAATTGGTGCTCCTACATGTCCATGCTCTTTTTAATATCCTGAAATCATGATTGTCAATTTACCATGGACTCAATTTCAGAACCTTTACACATTATACATACTTGATTAGCACCAGCTTGTCTTCAAGTTCGTAGGTGTTAATTCTTATCATTATGACTATGATCATACAGGTTTATGCCAGGCTTTAATTAACAAATTGCAGTGTAGCACATATCGGTCACATAAATCAAATTCACGTTTTGTTTCTGTAAGATTCCTTCAATTATGCCTGGATGCATAAATTCCTTCTTAGAAAGATCATTCACCTCCTTATCCTTCCAAAGTAAACATAGCATTTTACTGAGGAACCAACTTCTCATAAAGTCTGTGATAATGAATCACACCTGAAAATAATGCGAAAAGAATATAATATGGATATGCAATGATTTGATTTGTAACTTACCAACCTCCATCAAGAGAATAGCTTGTAAGCTTCTGGACTTTCATACACACAAATATATTATAGTGTAATATATCCATGTGCATTTATTTTCCTAACTCAACAATTTCTTGAAGATACCACAGGTTGTGGAATTTGTTCAATGTAGCGAGGTATTTTTGAGTGATCGATAATTATTTGCAAGAAAATTATAAATTCTGGTTCTGCTGTCATGTGACTTGAACGTCAAAACAACCTCAAGCCAGAATGTCGGAATCAAAAGGAGGCCATACATGTACGTTAACGAAGAAGACGTAATATTATCGAAATCAAGAAGGCCATAAACCAGCCCTACAATTGTAGGGACGACTGACGATACGGCCCTTAGTGCTTTCATTGCAGCCTGGCTGTCGGATAAGATTGTTATTCTTCTCCTAGGCCCACCCTCCTCCAGAATGTGAGATACACAAGCCAGAATCGCAAAGATTTCCGCCTATGTATATACGCTTAGTGAATATGCGTTTAAACAAAAAATATGCCTTTTGTTCTTATCATTACTTACTTACCTTTTAGCGATATTTTGTAATATTTTCAAAAAGGGTGATTTCATTCTGATGAATAAAAAAATACCAGAAAAATTAGTTTACAAAAATAAAAATTTAAGGGATTTCCGTATACACTTTTCTTTGGCCTAAATTTTAAGTTAGGAACAAGATGTCGAGATGCGGTTTTCGCGAGCTTGTTTAGACATCATTTAGCTACTTTTTGATAAAAATAAACCATACCAATGCAAGCAATTTTTGATAAAATTAACCATTTCTGTCGGAATGTCGAAAAAAGCCCTTTAACGGCCACATGTGAACGTAACAAACCTTCAAATATCATAATGTTTGTGTAGCCCAAGAATAGCTCTTTTCAACTATCCCAAGCTCGTTAAAATCGGCTCAGCCGTTTCGACAATAAAGGGTGTTTTTTAAGGAAAACTTGACAACCCCCCACCACTTTATTTTTAGAGATACAGCAAAAACTGTCAAACAAAAAAGGTTCACATTACCTTCGAATTTAAACATCTTAGGTTAATATAGCGGAATTCACGCCCCCCTAGCGGCCAGTTCAGAAACTTGAAAGTATTTTCCAGGTTTTTCTCTTGGCCGTTTTAGTAATCAATGTCGCAAGACTACGATGGATAGCTTCCCAAATACAGTATCTCCCATTCTTAGTTCGCCACCCAGTACATTTTCGGCATATAGATTATCAATCTAACATGTATCATATTACTAGTTACATGAGACATTTATATTGTATTATATTTTCAAGCGGCACATATTTATAGTGCATGAATAAAAAACACTGTTCAAAATATTTTTCATTTTCCATGAGGTTCCCACAGAAGTACAATACGTTTATCTAAAGATATAGATCACACCAACTTCTAGTCCTTCTTGTTTATAATATTGTGTGCTGCATATGATTTTCAAAGTTCTGCAAATAGGGCTAAAATGATACCTAATCAACTACAAACAAAACTTTATACTCCTAATCACAGATAAAAGCGTAAGAGTTGAAAATGTATTCTTAATTCATGTAGCCTTTTGTACTGGTGTATTTCCATACTCAAGAAATACTTGCAATGGAGGAATTGGTGTAGGGTAATATCAAGAGAAGTGCAATCATGTTGGAACAAAACCAGTAAAGAATCCACTAATTTGCAGAAAGGTTAATAAGTATGATCTAGGGGTTAATAGATCGTCTAAATTGGGAACCCTTGTGACTGAAATCTCAAAATGCACTTTGAAATTGGTGCACAATAAGTAATGCACCTAGTGCAAAACACAATATTTTTTTCAGTGGATCACTATATGCCTAATACACTAAGGTGCTCAGACAGTGGAGAATATAAGCACACTTATACAGAGTAACTGGTAATTCGCTGTATTCCCCCCATCTTCCAGGGGACCTAAAATGCAGCAAATTTTATATATTATTATCGAAATAAATAGAGATTTTTTAAATTGTGTTTTTTACCAACCACCCGTAATTGGGATTTTAACCTAAAAAATAAAAAAAAACCATGAAAGAAAGGAGTGTGAATTCAATTAAATTCCGTAGTTTCCACATGAACTGGGCTAATACAATCATAAAGAGTGTAAAAATGCTACACACAATAAAAAATAGCTATTTCTAAAAATAAAATTGTTTCAGCATCGAGCATGGGTAATGTAGTCGGTGCGGCAACACTCCAAACATGTGAGCAATAGGACTTATCTTCCCCTTGTATAGATTGAGGAGCTAATATGGAGAAAAGTACTCTTAGCCCTAAACAATAGCCCAGCTTTTTACCAGCAGCTGCTGCTACTGACAAGATGTGTTCGTGCCAGATCAAGTACTCTGTGATGTGGACTCCGACCAGCCGAAATGAACAGCTCTTTGGCTCAAGGTACAGTCCTAATCATTAAACTATACAAGATTTTTGCGTCCTCAAGCAGTGATAACCTTAAGGTCTCTCGTCAGAGAATAAGTCGCTGCTAGTCTTCTTTTTTCAGCTCACCGGCAGAGATCGGCTTGTCGCTCTGAATTCCTGTATGTAGAGTGCTGACAACAGCAGCAAAGCTGTGGATTGGATTGATCGGGCAGGAAAGGAGGTCGTTGATATTTATAAGAGGAACAGTGTCGGTGCCAAAACCGATCCCTTGAAATTACCCGCGTTGACGTTGTGTGATGAAAAGGAGAACCTGTCAGTTACGACGGATATCTTGCGGTCAGAACGTCAGCCAACCATCTACAAAGCCTCTCTGAGAGGCCATAGGATGGAAGCTTGCATGAGAGAGCAGCGTGTCACAGCTGACCGAACGCTTTCGTGATATCAAGAGCAACGACATGCGCCTCACCATGAAACTGGAGGAGTTTATTTCACAATTGCGTGACGCAGGCTAGAAGGTCCCCTGTGGATCGCTGGTGCCGGAAACTACTGCCTGTCGTTGATCAAGCGGTGACGTTCGACGTAGTCCAGAAACTCGCGAGTTATGCACCTCTCCACCACCTTACTTACAACAGCAAGCAGAGCTATATGCCTGTAGTTGTAAGTGTCTGTCTTAGATTCTTTTTTTGGGATGGGTTGGACATGAGCAAATTTCCAGTTTCCTGAGAAGATCGTAAGATATCTGGAAAAGACGCATTACACCTCTTCAATACAACGGCAGGAATCAAGTTCGGACCAGAAGCTTGGTTGATGTCGAGCGACAAGAGCACCCGTCTTACGGTCTTATGCCTGAATGTTACTTCCCGCATAGTGTAGGGAACCCTTTGAATCGACAGAACTCAGGCGTTTGGGGGACGTCCATGGTGGAATTGGCAGCAAAGATTGGCAGCACTTCCGCCTTAGCCTTTAAGTCGGTTACAATCGTTCCATCCCAACACGTGGTGGAAGGCTACTGTGAGAAGTTTCTTCCAATCTGCTTGTCCAGCATCCAGAAAGACCGACTGCCATTGCGCTACGACATAACCCTGTAATTAACTTTTATATTGTGCTGGTCTTTGGCATTGTGTACCGCTTCATTATATTTGTTTCTAGACTCGACGTCGGCTTGTCTGTTCTCCACAGTGGAGGTTTTATAAGAAGGTTCTGTGTGCTACGATCTGCTGACGAGCAGACCCTGGTTTAGGCACTTTAATTATTTGAGGGATATATTCCTCCATTCCAAGGTGGATAATTTCGGTTGTGGATGAACAGACAGCCGACGCATCTGCGAAACAAACATATCTCCAAGAAAAGGTGGAGAAGGCTCTGAACCCCTCCCAGTCGGCATGCCCATAATGCCAAATTTTGCGCCCTGGTCGAGTTTCTGCTGCCACAGCGGGTTCTGACCGAGACTAAACCTCAACAACATCGTGGTCTGAGTTACCCAGGGGAGACAGGACAGCAGTGCTGTAATGGGCAGGATGCATGGTCAGACAGAGATCCAGCAGGCTCCTGGCGTGTGACCAAATTCGGGGGCAAAAAGGAGGGTTTATCACTAGCTGGGTCAGTCCTTAGGTAATAGCGAACGCTTCAACTGCACAACCTGCTGCATCAGGCTTGTTTGTGCCCCACTAGAGCTCATTAAAGGGCATTGAAATCACCGAAAACTAACTCTGAAGCGGGGTGATTGATGATCAGGAAGTCGATCTTGACAGCGAGGTATTCAAGTAGGTCATCCCAGTTATGGTCCGAGGGAGACAGATAAAGCCAGCAAATAATTTTGGGGGATGGTTTGAGGCGAAGCCACAGAATACCCTTCCGGCCTGATTCCAAAGAAACGTCTCTGGAGCAGGAAAGACTGCTGCGGACAAAAGCCACAACTCCCCCGCTCTTTCTCAGATTGGAGTGCACCTCGTAATTTGGGAAGCTTATATGGTCGATCGGTGCAGAATCGAGATTTTAGTCTCCGCCAATAAAAGCATATCGGAACGATTAGATTGCAGGTAGTATTGAACAGCATCAACGTTGCTGTTACTCCCACAGATGTTCGTAAAACAAATTTTATCATCCAAGTAGTTCCCCCGATTCCACCTACCGCGTGTTTTTTCCTATAAAACTCTTGCAGATAGCCATTAAGCACCTACTTGATGACAGGCTCTACCAGAAATTTCATAGATATTCCCACAAAACCATTCAGGGTTTTTGATATCCATACATCCAAGTTGAATATTTTT